AATATATTTTAATACAGTTTTTTTGTATCATTGAACTCTTATTGCCTGTAAAGAAAAAATGTGCCAAAATAAAAAGTTTTACAGATAATCTAATTCAAATTTTAAAAATCAAAACAAATTAAATAATATTTACTGAACTTTTAAAACATATAAATTAATCACTGTAACGTGACAATCATTTGACAACTTTTATAAGCTGACAACTATATCAGCTTAGGAACATATCCAACATTTTATCATCTACAGAGTCTTCTTAATATTCAATCAAAAGGCAAGAATCTAGCTTTTGGACTCCATAGTCAATTGTCTTGTACTTACTTTGTTTCCTAAGTGAGTGATCTTCAGAATTCCATCTTGCCACACTTTTGACTTCTTCATCTTTTGATGAGTATACAGTACCTTATTTCCAAAAGTACAAAAGAAATGGTTTCTACTTACATGTATTAAATGTTGCATATTCTTATACCCTTCCTATATAAAAAATATTTAGACATCTTTTAATAAAATAAAAGATAACATAACAATAACAATAAAATATCAAGGTCCCTGGATGACTCAGTTGGTAGAGCATGTGACTCCTGATCTCAGGGTTTTGAGTTCAAGCTCCATGTTGGGCATAGAGCTTACATTAAATAAATAACAAAACATAAATTTTTAAAAAAGGAACTCAGTAGTAAAAGGCACAGCAGGGGAGAAAGGAGAGGTAAAATCTAAGGAGAAAAGTGAAAACTTAATTGAACAACAAAAATCATTTTGAGCTTCTCAGTCATCAGTGGGAAGGAAAAAATTTGTTGGGTTATATAGAAGTCATCATCTGAGCTCAAAATGTAGTCCAGACTCCTAGAGGTTCCCAAGACTCTTTCAGGAGTCTTGGGGTCAAAACTATTTTCATGATGTTATTTGTCTTTTCACTCTCATTTCTTCCGGCATGCATAGTGGTCTGCCAGGGTTATGTATGTGCAGTGTTGCAAGATTCAATTTCAGACTAAATGCAGAGGCAGATTTGAGAATCTAGTTGTCTATTAAATCAAATGGTAAGGGGATTTGCAAAAAAATGTCTATAGCAATGCTACTTTCTTCAATGTGGTTTTTTCCTGTTGTTGTTTTGGAAAATACAGCTATTTCCATTTTTAAAAAGTAATTTATGTTCAATGTAATGGGTTTTTTAAATGAATTAATAAATATTTTTTAAATTTCTGAAAGACATCAATAAATATAAGCCCCATAATCAGAAATTCTCTGGGCTCCTCAATAATTTCTAAGAGTATAAAAGCATCCTAAAACCAAACAGTTTAAGAATCACTGATCTAGATAGAAGAGGCATGGCAATTCTTCAAAAGAAATTATTTCCTGATCCTAACAAAGAGCTTACAAAGGGTTTGTTCCAAAGGATTTTGTATAACTAACATGAGTAGTAGGCAAGAGATAAAGTTGCCAGAAAAATACAGGACAGGGCACCTGGGTGGCTCAGTTGGTTGGGTGTCTGCCTTTGGCTCAGGTCATAATCCCAGGGTCCTGGGATCAAGCCCCGCATCGGGCTCCCCGCTTGGCGGGAAGCCTGTTTCTCCCTCTCCCACTCCCTCTGCTTGTGTTCCCTCTCTTGCTGTGTCTCTCACTCTCTCTCTGTCAAATAAATAAATAAAATCTTTAAAAAAAATACAGGGCAATATTTGAGACATACATACTTATACCAAAAAAATTACTGTTTATCTGATACTCAAATTTACCTAAGTGTCCTGCTTTAGTTTTGGGTTTTTTTTGTTTTTTGTTAAATCTGTCAACCCCAGCAAGATATCTGTGAAATGTAGAAGGAAGAAATAAAAAAGGAAATAGTGGGAAGCCTGCCTGGCTGGCTCAGTCAATGGAGTATGTAACTCTTGATCTCAGGGTTGTGAGTTCAAGTCCTACACTGGATATAGAGATTACTTAAAAATAAAATCTTAAAAAAATTTAAAAATAGAGGATTTAAAAAAAAAGAAAAAAGGAAATAGAGAAAACTGTTAGACTCACAATAAATTCCTGGCTTTCCATTATTTCTTCTGAAATTATAAACCAGTCAGGTCCAGAAAATAATGGTGGTTATTCAATTATTTATACAACCTAAAATAAAAATAAACAAAGAATATTCAACCCTGATGAAAAGAATATCAAATACGACTGTTTCCCACAAACTCTTGACAGGATAGAGGAATCTAAGAGTTCTAAGACTATGTGATTACCAAGGGAAACCCAGGTGTAATCAAATTATCTGATACTAAGTACAAAATAAAAGAGGGACCCCACCCGGTGGAAAAAGAGTTTGCCAAGTAAAGAGAAAACTAAATAAAATGTATAAAATAATTAGTAGTGTGCTAAGCTTTTTTCCAAGTGCCATAACATGTATCAGAAAACCATCCCTCTTCCCCCAACATTTGAGTTCCTTATGGAAAGAGCTTCTATTTTCCATTTTCTGAATTGCTATGGCCACAAGATGGCCCCCTTGCGTTTTGAATTTTTCCTTTTATATCATAGTATCCAGGATCTAATACACAAATTTCCTCTGCAAGGAATAATCTTTTCAATATCACTGCAATGAGTACTGTACTTATCCTATGCTACTGGATAAAATTGTTATTGTGGGCAAATTTGGAAGTCAAAAATTACTGATGGTGAACTGAAGAAGTAAATGGAGATGCCAAAAAAAAATTTTTTTTTTCTAAAGCAGTGGTCCCAAAGATATGATCCCTGGACCAACAGCATCAACATCAACTGGTAACTAGTTAGAAATTCAAGTTCTTGGGTCCTGCCCCTGACCTTTTAAATCAGAAAGTCTGAGGTTGGACCCAGTACTTCGTTTTAACATGTCCTGCAGGTGATAGTGATACATGCTCAAGTTTGAGAACACAGGGCTAAAAGACCTAGGATGATTCAATAAAACTATAATTTGAAATTCTGGATTCAATTCCCCCTTCATACATACAAGATATACCACATACATATTATTTATAAATTACATGTATTTATTTAGTACTTCCTTTAGCATTTGCCAGACACTGCTAGGTTGAAGTACTAAAATGAACAAATACTATTTTTAATCAGGGACTTTCCAGTATAGCAGGCTGATAAACAGTAATTACAATAAAACATGACAGAAATAAGCACAGGAAGGGACCCAACTGGGTCTATGGCATCAAATAAGGCTTCCTGAAGAACATAATGTCTAAGCTGCAAGCTAAAATAACTATAACCGAAAGAAAATGCCAGGAATGTATTTCCAAAAAGGAATCAATACATACAAGGGCCTATGAAAGACAGAGCAAGGCATGACCAAGGAACTCAGTACAATTAAGGGGTCAATGTAAGATAGTGAATAGTGAGAGAGAAGACTGAAAATGAGCAATAATAGGAGTCAGAGGGCCTTCTATGCTATGCTGAGTTCTTTGAACTTTATTCTATAAAGGCAGTACGAACCGTAGGGTTTTAAGAATAAGATTACATAATCTGACTTGGATTTTACAAAGACTGCACTGGCTGCTAAAATAGGAGAGATAAGGGATTAGGCAAATGAGATATGAATACTTGCCCCATACCATAGTTCACAGGACAGGACACAGGCCTACAGAGGCACTGCCTTCCAGCTATAAAACTCCCATATCCCATATCCCTCCCCTCAAGCCCAAAGGAATTGCTAAATGCCTAATGAATGCCAAGAAGATAACAGAGGTCCAGAGAAACACATCATTCACTACTACTTTTAAAGCAACTTGCTCCCAACACTGAATGTGTTGGACATTTTACATCTGTATGAGACTACATGGTATAGGCACAGTGTTTGCCATGTGGCAGTTATGGATATGAGATCTCTTTAATAACAGCTATCATTTATTCAGTGTAATTTTATGCTAGACACCTAACATGCTTTAAATGCTCACAACCTTATGGTATAGATACTATTTTTTACATTTATTTTACAAAAAAGGAAACTAAGGTACATAATAGTATGTAATTTGCTCAAGATCACAAAACAAATAAATGGCAGATTCAGAATTCAAAACTAAGTAGTCAAGAGGTCCCTAGCTGGCTCAGTCTGTAGAGCATGCAATTCTTGATCTCCCGGTCATGAGTTCAAGCCCCATGTAGGGCATAAAGTTTACTTCAAAAAAAAAAGAAAAAATTTTAAAAACTAAGTAGTCTAAATTCTGGTGCTCATACTCACAAATATGACATGACTATTGAATACCTAGTATGTCAGGCAAATTTTTGGACTACTTTGTATTATATATGTTACTTATATATAATATTTGTCAATCTCAGAATCCTGAAGAGTAGATGTTATCACAACATACAGATTACTAATCCAGTATTTACTAATTTAAGATTACTTATATTCTATTTAGGAACTGCAAGATAAATTCCCCATTGTTTTCCTAAATTAGAGATATTACTTGCAGGGCTTACAATTTAAAAGGAATTGTAAAGATCCATATCCTCATAAGTGGTAAATTAGATTATAATAAAACAAAGACTAGCTAAAAAAAAAAAAAGGCTAGCTTTATTTAAAAATATTTAGAAGAGGTCTAAATTCCTACATTCGAAGGAGAGTCAATAGTCCTTTTTTACCATTAAATAGGAAAAATGGTATTAACTAACAAATGACATATTTAAGTGAAGTGCAAATATAAAAAAAATTTCTGAAAGTCTTCACCTAGCCACATCAAGTGTTCACCCACCTCTAACGGGCGGAAGTTTAATTTACAAAGTTTTTAAAGCGGTATGGAGACCTCAGATGTGGTAATTATATAACCACAGACATGCACACATACCCCCCCAACCATATATATTCCCACACGTCCTTACGCTGCTTTATACATTCATATATAAAAATCAGTGTTCTCAACAAAATATGAGCCATTCTTCCTTTTAAGATGTTTTTGGTCTTTTTGTTTTGGAACAAGCAGGACCTTTAGAACCCCTAAATGGTTCACAGATTTAAAAGTTCCAGAATCTCGAACTCAATATTCTGTTAAGAAGCCATTCAGTCCAAATAACCAAGAGAAGCTAACATTTGCCAAAATAATAATTACCATGACTCTGTGTAACCAAATGGCAATGAGACTTGACCCTCTGTCAGTCCTAAATGCAAACACCAAAACCTTCTCTGGTCCTTACACTTATGCGGAAACTGCAAAGCAGAGGCTGGGGAAAGCGGTAAAGACGAGGCACCAATTTTACAGAGATTCGGAGCAAGCGAGTGTAACTGTCCAAACCTGGTTCCATATAGCACCAGCAACGGTCCGCTTCTGGCGGAATAGTCTTTCAACCCTTTGCCCTAAATTGCGACGCCTCCTCTCCCTCAAATCCCTTTGCCTATACACCCCCACGCCGGGGAAACAACTGACCTCACCTGTCCATAAAATCCACTTTCGAATTTCTCCCGCGAAAGACTGTGACGTCATTAAACTGGGACCGCACCAGATCAGGACCCAATACTCAGCCCGCCCACCACAACCGGCGTTTTCAAACCGCCAATCAAACTTTTCATCGTCTGCGAGCCTCCTTGCCCAGCCGGGTAATCCAACGCCCCGCCCCCAGCGCCAGCCCACGCCCGTGACGTAAGCGACGGACGCACCGTCCCGTGCTCGTCTTTTCCAAGGCCTACGGGAGAGCTGTGTCGCTCATCCTATGACGCGGAAACCAGGACTATAAGGATCTGGAGACGAAAAGGTCGAAGGACGCTATCACCGGCCCAGTGTTTTGGGAATTGAACGGAGTAAGTTCCAAGTAGACCGTAGATAGTGTCGCTCAGGTTGACTGAGGTTTCATTTCCTCTGAGTCCTTTTTAACGCAGTCCATTCTATCTTCTGGCGTCCCTTTCACTTCGTCCCCTCCCACAAACCCATCAGTTTGCTTGTCCTAGTTCTCTGTGCGCACGCGCAAAAGTCCTGTGGGCGCCCTTGTAGTTCCAGTTTTCAGAGGTTGGGGGCGCGTATTGTCCGGCTTTGGGAGATTGGGGGCCTGCCCGGCATTTGGCGGCGTACTTGGGAAAGGACGGGTGCCGAGGTGGACCTTAGCCAAGGGTAAAATGCTTTACTTCCTAGATCTGAGCCTTGGCGGCCAAACAGTAGCGAATGTGAGGACTTGTTTTAAAGTTAGTCATTTTCTTTTTCAAGATTCTAGTTTTTGTTATTAAAGAACCGAAAATCCAGTTACGGAAGGGAGCTAACAAATTTTAAGTGTCAAGTGAAGGGTACTAAGCGCCCTAATAGATGTGCTTGAGGGAAAATGGGTAAGGAGACAAATTAGGGGAGACGTGGTGGTAGAAAGCTACATTGAGTAAGATGCCATTTAACGTGGGCCTTGAAAATTGGATAGGGGTTTATAAGGCAAGTAAGACAAGACTAATTCAAAAAAGCAGAGACACACAGGCAAGGGTGTTCTGGTGCCTTTGAATGGTCAGCCGTGGCTAGAACGATGACTTAACGTTTTTGACACACCATTTCCTCTAAGAACGATGAAGGCTGTGGATGAGCTTCCCAGGAAGATGCATGCACATGGCAAGACATTTTACGTGTAATTTTGTTGGGAAATTGTGAAACACCTTGAAATGGCCAAGAAAAGAAATACTGGATATCTTGTCTAGCTCACTCTTCCAGGTTATCTCTTTCATTGTCATTGAGCTATTTTATTTTACATTTATGGAAGTTGTAGAAAATAATTATAATGGAAATTAGTCTTGCAATTAATTAATGTTGCAATTATTGCCCTAACCATTTTTGCATCTATGAACAAATTCCTTTCAGTGTTTCTGATTGTTTATATATTTTAATACTCCTTTGAAGTAGTTTTTTTTTAAGATTTATTTATTTGACAGAGAGACACAGCGAGATACAGAACGCAAGCATGGGGAGTGGAGAGGGAGAGGCAGGCCTCCCTCGGAGCAGGGAGCCTGATGCAGGCTAGGATCATGACCTGAGCCAAAGGCAGACGCCCAATGACTGAGCCACCCAGGTGCCCCTGAACTAGTTTTTTTTTTTTTAATATAATATTTTTAA